TGTAAGTTATGTATGTGTGTAGATATTTGTATAAATATAAAATTTCTTAAAACAGAAAAAATATAATACAAGATAATTTTAATAAAATATATTATAATATACTAAATTATTTCAGCAACATGTAGGGTTAATGGAAAGAAGGAAAGTAAAACACTTCAAGGCCCATCTTGATGTGGACAAAAAGTAGGGAAATAGAGCATTTAGACAGCCTCTTATGTTTCCCTTGTATGTAATAATGTGCTAAACAGAAAAAGAAAAACACTTTAATATAATAAATAGCACATAGTTACAAGGAAGATAACAAAACCTAAGTTCACGAAAACAAAGCAACATAGCAACTAAAATGTGAAACAACTATATCAGAACTCAAAATACAGTGCAAGAGGAAAGGTCAGTATACTTGCCTCAGGAGGATGGACTAGTAGAAAAAGCAATAAAAGTGCATGGATGTATTGAATCAATAAACTTGAATATAAATTCACATTCATCCTTCAGAGAAAATGAAGCATTAATAAAAATTAACAACATTATTTGGAAAATGTTTACAAGTTAACCTTAAGGATTTGGGAGAAATAAAATAGATTTTACAGAACACATTCTTTGACCACAAGCCAATAAAACTGGAAGTATATAATGATAAAGATATAAAACTATAGGTACTTGAAATGAGAAATACATACTTGGACTCTCTGAGATCAAAAAATACAACAAAGCAGTCTAGAAAGCAATAAAAAGTACTCTTCGTTCTCAAATGATGTGTAATTTGTTTTCAGAATAAAAATTTCAGATAAATTCTTAAGTAATATGAAAAACAAAAAAAAAACTAAGTAGTGATCTTAATTCATACAAGAAAAGGAAATCAAAGGAAACTAGTGAGATGGAATTAAGATAAAAATCCAAATCATAGACCTAGAACATAAAAATGAGCACATAAATTTCTAGGCTGACCTCCATGCAAACTCAAATTCAGGTGTGTTAGAAATCAATCTATGTCAAAATAGAAGTAACACATAAATTCTCTGAGATAATCTGGCCCTAGGCATTCACCCCATTTCCCATTATTCATCTTCCTGGATGTCCTATCTGGAATTTATTGGTTGGATTGAGTGGATGGCCAAGTAAGCTGGGTTTTATTAAAACATGAGGCTGGAGGAAACTTCATGGTCTTGCTACCTAGCTGGTCTTCTCTCTAAAAGAATTCCCATGGGAGAGAGAGCTGTGACATTTTGGAATGTCAAATCACAAGGAAAAATCTCATTGACAAAAAACAGGACTCTGAAAGCAACTTTTTTGTAGTCATACATTGGAATTATAGAACATGTAAATGTATTTTATTTTAAGATTTTTTTTTAATTTCACACCTCTAAAAAACAATAGTTCGTAATCTCTAACGTCTAATAAAATAGACTTGTTTTTGCTATCTCAAAGTTGAAATTTCATCATTTATTAGTATAAATGTCAGTAATCTTTATATTGTTTCTAGTTTTTACAGTGTATTTTAGAGGGAAACCTCCATTGACAGTGATCGTTAAGGATCAACAGCTGCTGTTTACTTCTGACTCAGTTTGAATTGGTGGCAATAGTACTTTCAAGTTGCTTGATTGTGGAGAGGCAGGAGGAAGGGAGAGGATGTATAATTTTTTTTTTTAATTTGCAAAACCAGACTGTAATAAGAGAACAGACAATGTCTTCCTTTAAGTTGTCACTGCTAATTAGAAAGTGAGGTGTGTGTGTGTGTGTGTGTGTGTGTGTGTGTGGTGTGTGTGTGTGTTTACAGAAGTGGAGTTTCTGTAACATGTCTAAAATAGGGGACGAGAAAAGAGAACTTAAGCTCTGAAAAACATCTCTTATAACAGACATTGAGCCTACCTATGTTTACTTTGGTTTTGGGATCTGTTTTATTTTAATGGACGCATAAAAATAACTAGATATATTACCACTACTACTAATAATAATGATACAGTCAAATTTATTTTAAATTCTTATTACTTTACAGGCTGGGATTTATGTTTGAGGGAAACCTCAAAGGAATCCTTATAAGTTTCATGAATTGTCTTTAGATCATGCCCCAAGAATAAAATTATTACCCACTCATGGTCCCTTTCTTTTAAAACATAATTTTAAAATTATATAATTTTAAATATATAATATGGTTATATAATTTTAACCATTTTTACAGAGAGGGATCAGAAGGAGGAAAGAATGTGGGGGCTATGGTGATGATGGGTGGGGGGGAGTAAACATTGTAAAATGAACAATAATGTAAATAGATACACTAAAAAATAATAAAATAATAATTTTAACCATTTTTCAAATATATGGCAGTAGAGCTGTGCCTTTTCATGATTGCTAACTGATTTCCTCTCTCTTTTAGCCAAGGAGCTGAAGAAATAATTCCATTTTGCTGCTTATTGGTTTTTTTAACATCAGTCTCAAACAAAAAGTAGCAGGAAAATGTGGTGTCTTTAGCACTAAGAACACAGTAACTCTGCTTCCACCATGTTGATGAATATCTCAACATTTTTGCATTTATTTCTCAAACTAAGTTACTGGTACTATTGGGCTAAGTTTTTGTTTCTAATCAATATACAGTGAGTGGGATAGATATTTTGTCTTTGGACTTCCTTATTTACTTTAATTATTAAATCTAACATTTTTTAAGGCCCCTTGAGAGTAAATGTGTATTTTCTCACTCTGACCATAATTTCAAAGAACAGAATGCTTTTATGGCATTTCCAAGGAAGCAAAGAGTTTGAACCTTTCATTTCCCTTTTGTCATGTGTCTTGATGGATTTTCTAAAAAAATTTTCTTATGGTTTTAGGTTTTAAAGGAGAAGGAAAAGTTGAGCACAATCTCATCTTTGTCTCCTTTGTCTCTGTCTGTAGGATGAATATAAGCCAGAAAAGGCCCTGTCTGAAGAGGATTTGAAAAATGCCGTCAGTGTACATCATGCACTGGCATCCAAGGCCACAGACTATGAGAAGAAACCCAATGTGCTTAAACTTAAAACCGCCGACTGGAGGGTCTTGCTTTTTCAAGCCCAGTATGTGTTGTTGCTTTGGTTTGGTTTGTTAGTCTGCATGCCACCGCTTGATGCAGAGAAATAGAACCAGGATCTGCAGGGGAGGCTTTTTGAATCAGAGTCAAAGTCCTGAATGAGTTCTATTAGAGGGAGGACTGCTCAAGAAAACCAGAGTAGGGAAATACCAACCCTGGGTCCACTTTTTTTTTTTTTAATTGAAGTAAAATGCATGCACAGCATGCCATATAATTTAGAGGTATAAGATCACATCCTTCAGGCACCCACCACCAAGGCACCTACAAAGGGTACAAGGTAGCCCATGACATTTAGCCAGCAATTTCTTATCTCTAGAATTTAATATCTTAGTGAATTAAAAAAAATGAGGGTATTAAATGTGTACAAGTACTCACATAGTGAGTAAAATAGACTTGGATTCAAATCACCATTGCCTTGCTTGTCATTAGTGGAGATAAGAAGTATCTCATAGGGTTATTGTGAGCATTAAATAAAATCAAGTATATAAAGGACCTCAGACCATGCCCGCATAAAGGAACAACTTCATAAGTGTAGGTTTCCATTTTATTCTCTCTCTCCCCTTTCTCCTTCTGAACTTTAATTGTCCATAATTAAGCTAGAAGAGAAAGATAAAATCAATCAGGAAATGGGATGGGTTGCCAGTTTAATAAGAGGTCTGGTGACAGCCTTTGGATTAAAGTGGAATATTGCACATGGAGATATTAGGTAGTGAAGTGAAGAACTGAGCAATGGGAAACAGGAATTTTAATAGGAGCAATCATCAGTGTCGTGGCAGTGTTAGCCATTCGTGGCATGACTTTGGTAGCCTGAACTTTACATCAGAGTCACTCCCATAAAGATTGCCAAATGACCACATCTGGCACTGGAATTAAAATTTGATATCACAATACTGAACACAAGTAGCTGCATGCTTGCTGATCAATGTGAGATCAAAGAAAGCAATAAGAACAAACCCTCTGGCAACTTATAGATGTGGAACTCCAGAAAGTCTGAAATTGCTGACATCAGGTGAGGAGGAAGCTGTAAGGAAATCCAAGTTACATGGGATTTTTCTAATGTGGAAGTAAAACAGCTTTACCACCCCAAAGGGAGCCATAGCTAGAGGTATAATTACAGCTACTCGTCATAAAAATCCTTTAGAATATTCTATTCCCCGCACTCTTTAAAAATGCCAGATATGGTAACTAAGGAGATCTAAGTATTTCAAATAGAACTGATAACAAAAAGCAGTCAGAGCTAGGAAATTAGAAGAGTCATGTGTTCATATCTAACGTGCTGTGCTCTCAGGTTAGTGTGGCCTCCAAGTAATGCTAAAGGAAATTATTTTAGATTGACTGACATTCTGTCTATTTCCTGTTTATTGATTATATACACGGTGGATAAACTATTCTGGTTCATGACTATTTCTGCTATTCCTTTATCAATTCACAAATACTTATTAAGTCCTGAACTCAATGAATATATGTGACATATTAGAAGTACGATCATGACATGATTTCCACCTCCTCACTTGGGAATTTTTAAACATCCTATTGAGATAGAGTTTACAAACCATGTTTCAAGTGTACAGTTTAGTGATCTGTTTTTATAATTTACAGAACTGTGCAACCAGAGTTGCAATCCACTGCAGTCATTTCCATTACTCCAGAGAGCTCCTCCATGCTCCTACGTAGTTACTTCTCATCTTTACCCCCAGCCCAGACACTGCTGATCTCCTTTCTGTCTCTGCCATTTCCACATTCATATAAATGAAAGCATGCCATCAGTGGTCTTTTGTGTCTGGCTTCTTTCATTCTGTAAAGTTTGGGGTGTCCATCCCGAGTGTAGCATGTATCAGCACTTCGTGCCTTTATTGCTGAGTAGCATTTCTTTCTTCATTCGCTAATTGACACTTAGGTTGTCTCCTCTTTTTCACTATTATAAATAATGCTTCTGTGAACATTCACACACAATACCCTTTCTCCTTCTGAACTTTAATTGTCCATAATTAAGCTAGAAGAGAAAGACAAATTCAATCAGGAAATGGGATGGGTTGCCAGTTTCTCTTGCATAAACCTACAAGTAGGATTACTGGGTTTGTGTAACAAATGTATGGTTGACTTTTTTTTTTTTATTAAAAAGTTTATTTTTACATCATTTTTCACATTTTTTTTTTCATCTCAATTGTAATCCCCACGGGTTTCCCATCACCAAATCACCCCTGTATGGTTGACTTTTTAAAGAGGTATCAGAACTGCTTTGCAAAGTAGATGTGCCTTAACCCTTTGATCAGTTTGTCCCTTTGTTGTTGTTGTTTTTAACTCAAATTACGTGATTGGAAGAAATTATTACATTCATTAATTTTTGCCTGTCCTACTGTCAAACAGAAAGATGGGGTTTATACTTATTGTCAAGTGATTTTGCTTTTCTATCTTATATATCCTCAAGGGATAAACACAGCTTAATACTACAATAATCATAAGTTCCAGAGCCCTCATTACCATGAGTACTACTATTAAATAGTTAATCTCCAATAGAGTTTTGTCATGGATTAATTGCACCAAGAACAGTAAATGATTTTGTGTGTGCTACTTTAAAGCAGTAATGAGCAGTGGTCAAGGGTAATGGTGTAATAATAACCTAATATAAGCGTTTCTGTTTCTCATAGGAGCCCAGAGGAAATGCAGGGGTGGATAAACAAAATTAATTGTGTTGCAGCTGTGTTTTCTGCACCACCATTTCCAGCAGCGATTGGGTCTCAGAAGAAGTTTAGTCGTCCTCTTCTGCCTGCTACCACAACAAAATTATCTCAGGTAAGTTGTTTTAATAGTATTTAACCTTAGAAAACAGTACTTTGTAAGATAGTATTATTGATGTATGTTTGACTATTACTCGGCATATGGGGGATGGTATGAGACTTGTGCTGGAAGGGCCTGTTGTATAAAAGAGGCAAAATGCAATATACTGATACAATATACCGGTTTATACTTTACACAGGAAGCATACAGCTGAGTTAAGGTCTGTAGGAAAGATACTTTGAATTTGTTTCTGTAATGCATATAAGTTGACTACTCAGTCCTGTTGGCCTGGTTTTTTGCTGTTGCTAATAGCTCATATTTTTGTGAAATGAATAATGTTTCACATTCTGGCATGCAGACCAGCTTTTTTCTTTCACTTTTCTATTGATTTTATTTTGCATTTCTCATAGCCCAAGCTGTATTTCGTGATGAATATATAAAAATAGCCCCAAGGATCCATTTATCCTAGTACCACAGGGCTGCATATGTCCCCTCCTCGGGACAGAGTTTCATGGACTGTGTGTGATTTTCTAGCTGGCCGGGGTGGAGTGCATTTGAACTCTGTTCCAAATACATTCACGTAGCTTCTCTCTTGATGTTAGATTGATCTAACAATCTATTTTATTGTACCCCTCTCCTTCTTAAAGTTCTGTTCTAGGAACCACAGGGGCCAATTTTAAACCCCTCTGCAGTTCCATTTACTAGTTAAGGATTTTGGAAGCTACTTTGATGTCTTTATAAATTTCTTATTGGTGCAATAATAGAAATATTTCTTTCTGACTCTAAGCAACCAGGTATTGATATTCTTTGGCTCCTCTACATATAATGACTACCAGTAATATGTATATTTAATAAATATGTTTATACATTATGTACCTCTTCTACTTCAGAGACTATTTTAAGTACTAGAGATAGAAAGACAAATGAAACAAACTTTCTGGGATTGGATTCGCAAATACAAATCAGGAAGTGTAACCCTAACACAATTTGATTAGAAGTCAGAAAGGATGGACCAGAGTGAGGGACACAGGGAACCAGCCTAGCCTGGCCCAAGAGGTGAAGGAGGATGTGTGATAGCTGACACAAAGCTTACAGGATGAGCAACAGTTAGTTAGGTGTGCAAGGAAAGATTGATCCAGCAGGAGAGCAAAACAGCCTACAGGAGACAATCCTGGGAGTCAGGAACCACAATTAAGTTATCAGTGTGACTTAAGGGCAGGATGTTGGAAAAGGTAAGAAACATCCCAGGTGAATATAAGCAATGGCCAGGTAACAACATAACAGGTAACAGGTAACAACAGGTTTGGTTCCCCAACACCCTTCAGTTAGGAGGTTCAACAGCAAAGTAATGTGGTCACAATTTGAACTTTAAAAAAGATTCTTATTTACAATCTAAAGTATTGGGGGTGGGGAAAGTACTACTAGAAGCGGAAAGATTAGTTTTAAAGTCACTTTCTATAATGCAGGGGCGACTAAAGCTAAGTTAGTGGTAGAGAAATGATGAGAAGTGGAGTGCTAGGAAGTCTGAGTGGCTAGGAGGTCTGGGTAGCCAGTGCAGGAGCAGGGCCACCGTCGGTGGGCAGTGGGACGGTGCTGTCTGACTTGACCCAAGGGACGTCACCTCCTCCTGGTCTCCCTCCTGTCTTTTCTTTCCAGAGGCCTTTCCCTCGGTCCTTTTCCTCTTTCTGCCTCCAAATGTTGCTATGCATACTGCTCAGAAACAAACCAAAACATACTGAGAAAAACAGCATTTTAAAGTTTAGTAAAAAGAAAAGCAAGAAGAATGTTGCACTAAGAAAAGCAGGTAAAATTGGGAAAAAGAAACCTTCACTGTGAAGTGGCAAGAAGGTTATTGGGTCCCAGTCTCGGGAGTGATGAGAACAGCCCATAATGGTTTCTTTCGGAACGGAACGGAAGGTCCAAAGGAAGTGAAGGCAAGCGTGCTCAGTCTTGCCAAAAGTTTATAAAAAGCAAACCTAGCAAGGAGAGAGGAGACATGGCTTCAGGAAAGATTCTCTTATTTTTGTAAATTCCTAGTTATTCATGTGAGTTGGATGCTCACCATATAAGCAGGACTGCATTATGTAGCTCATTTCCTACCAATAAAAGCTGTTAATAAAAAAGACCACAGCAGCTCAGTTTACAATGCAGAATGGCATTTCATTTTCAAGGATAATAACAATTCTAAAAGGAAAGCAAGGTTTAACTCTTAATATTGGTGACCACAAAGTATGGCCAATTTCTCTGTCTTCAACTAAAATGTAAGCTCTTAAAGCAAAAGTTTTTCCCCACTTTAATTTGAGGTACTTAACATAAGCAGTGATACATGCAACACCAGGTAAAAGGACAAAAAACAAATGAACCCCTAAAGGCAAAAAGTACCAACAGAAATTGGATTTTGCTCTAATTTCACTCAGGATTGTCCAGTTGTTATTTTTCAATATATTGTTGTGTTTTTTTTTTCCCACAATAACTTCTATTTTTAAAAAAAATGAGCATAAAGGTGAGTTAGAGAGCAACATTAAGAAGCATTCATTTATGAAGGCTCTCTGTCATGTAAAGCAACGTTTGCCCTTTTCTTCACTATAGAACCTACATTACTATATATTTACTTTCTACTTTGAGGAATGTACTGCTGTCCTATTTACATATAGACTATACATTATAAGTCACTCAAATATGCATTTGGGTGTGTATCTATGTGTGTGTTTTTACTAAGACCAGGCAAGAAAGCACCTTCTTATACTAAATGTCTTACACTAGATTAATAATAGAATCCATAATTTGTTGGTTATCGGTTTGAACATACATCTAGGAAGATGCAAAAAAAAAAAAATGCCTAAAAAAAAAAAACCAAAATGATGGATCGAAGTTTTAAATAAGAAAGAACCATGAAACTGCCTCCTCTTGTGTCACATAAGATGAGATGACCAAACCCTCTGAGGAAATTAATTACTCTAGAAAAGAGTAAGATGAATTCCTCATGAACAAATGAATTATTAAGTTTTTGCAGGCCTGTTTTTCTACTGGGAAATAAGTAGATTGTTCTAGAATGTTCTTTCTATCACTTTTTCTATATATTTTGGCCCAAGTCATTATTTTTGTTTACTAAAATTGAAAAAGGTGTTTTACTTTTGATTGTCTAATAGGACAGTTAGGAATACAACATAAAGTTGAGCATGTTAGAAAAATGGAGTAAAGAGTGCATTTGCAGTGTGATACAGGTATTTGGGGTGGCCTCTATTTCAAATAGAGACTCCTGGGCATTGTCTTTGTTAGTGTCAAAGTGCACCGTCAGCAGATTCTGGGGTTAGAGTGTCTTTCTTTAAGCTTGTGAGTTCTCAAGCCATTTATTCCTGAACCCAAGCAGTTTCAACCTCAGCACCCCTAACACTCGACTGGGTGGGTCTTTGTTATGGGAGGTGATTGTCCTGTGAACTGTAGATGTTTAACAATTTCCCCAGCCTCCACCCACTAGATGCCAACGCCTTCCCCATAGTTATCACAAACAGAAATGTCTCCAGACATCATCATGCGTCATTTGGGGTCAGCTCCACCCACCTGCTGCGGTGGCTCACGGCTCTAGCCCAACCACCTCTCCATATGCCCCCCAACCTGGTGATGACACCCCTAAATGCCAGACCCACTTGGATAATTTAACTTGAAAAATGTATGTATGTAACCATGTGAATGCCCTGCTGGGAAAAAAAGTTAAACAGTGTTGGGAAAAAAACAAACGTTCAATTAGAAGATTGTTTGGTGCTTTCAAAGACACATTGTTCATCACCCTGTCATTTGTGGGCTTTGCTTTAATTTATTCTTGTCTCCTATCCAAAATATATTAGCCTTCATTATTAAAATTGATTACTGTCAGTGCAGCGTGGTTCTTCTGAACAGCTCTGCTGTGTGGGAGGAGTCACCTTCTTCAGTTGTTTTTCATGGCAGTGTTGCCAGAGCACATTTTTCTTCTAATTGGGGGTAGAGTGACGAGTTTGAAAATTTTAAGCTTTGTTTCTCCTTCTGGTGTAGCTCTCCAAACTCAGGATTCCACCGTTGCCCTCTTCAGGATCTATACAGTGCCTCCCTTTCTGTTCACCAAACTAGTTACTTTCAAATTTGGACCTGCACAAGAATTAGCTAGGGACTTCTTCATATGCACATCTCGCCTGACCCAGCTTGATCATGCCCAGGCCGGGGGCAGGAATATGTATGTCTCAGAGCCACCCAGGTGTGCAGTGACAGGCAGTAGAGGCCGCACTAAAGACCCTGCATCCAAACAGTTCCCACCTCCCTTCCCTGCTCCTCTGCAGACCCTAGTGACCATTGCTCAGAACTAGTCCTGCTCCCTTCTCTGAGTTGCAGCCGTTCTCCCATTCGAGTGTGAATCACAAGTGATCACTAACTGCAGACTGTTGAGGGTCTGGTCTTGTGAAGAGCATTGATCTGAAACAAGGAAAGTCCTGTGCTTGCTTCCAGCCTTTCCAGGCATCCTGCAGTTACACCCCAGAACTGTAGTTCTCAAGGGTCACATGAGTAGGGTGGGTTAGAAGCAAGGGACTTCCAAGGAGTGTCCTCTTATAGCTGAGTCCCAACTAGGCCCTCCCACCCCACTCAATTTCATACAGAGAATTCCACAAGTCCTGTCCCTTCTGCTTCTTATTAATAACTCTTAGCAATAACCATTAGCAATATTAAATGTTTCAGCAGATAGTCTCAAATATATATACATATGTTTAAATTAAATCTACTATATATCTTACCGTCAACCCAAAATTAAAAAAAAAAAAAGCTGAATAGCATCAATTTTCAGGGAAACACAAATCCAAAACACAATGAGATACCACCTTACATATACTTTGGATGGCTGTGACTTTTAAGGTAATTTAGAAAGGGAAACTGACTTGATGAAAATGTGGAGAAACTAGAATTCTTATACATGGCAGGTGGGGAAGATGATACAGCTGCTTTGGAAAACAGTTTGGTAGTGCATCAGATAATTAACATGTGACCCAGCA